TGTTTCCAATGTGATGGCACTAGCCGTTTCCTGAAATGTTGCGATGCGGAATCAAAACTTTTAGAGGAAATGTTTCGAAACATTTTCGGCAATTTGTGTCCAAGATGTTCCCGTTTTCAGCAGCCACTGTTTCTAAATGCGAAAAAACAAAATAGCGAACTAAAATAGTCTATGTCGGTGTGTGGGTTTCAAAATGAAAACAACCGACCTCCATCATAATTTTGTTGTCTTAAGATCTTTGTTTTTAGGATTTCTCGCACAAAAAATATCTGGCAAAAGCAAATTCATCGTTTAATTTAATAATGTACTTTCATATGTTTAATGTCTCTTCTATAATATATTCAGTAATCAGTCTGATGAGCCACGTCCTAAAAATCCTCCTTAATATCATCCAAACACGTATATACCTATAGGAAGCTCGATGAAAACGTAGGTGAAACTCAGTTCGGATTCAGAAAGGGATTGGGCACCACAGAGGTTCTGTTTTCAATACAAGTCCTAATCCAACGAGCACGCCACCTCAATGTAGATGTCTTTGCGTGCTTCATAGACTTCGAAAAGGCCTTTGATAGAGTCCAGCATGACAAACTCATCTCGATTTTACAGGAATCAGGAATAGACGATAGAGATACAGAGATAATAGCAAAACTTTATCGTCAACAAAAGGCCGTGGTTCGAATCGAAAACGAAACTTCAGAAGAGTTTAGTGTAAGGAGGGGAGTGTGACGGGGCTGTATATTGTCGCCTCTGCTATTCAATATGTACTTGGAACATCTATTCAGAGAGGCACTGACATAGAGATGGCACAGAGGATGGGCTGGTTTAAAATGGAGAAATAATAAACGATTTCATATATGCAGATGGTACCGTTCTGTTGGCCGATACCGCTGAAGGTCTCCAAAGGCTTATAGATCATGTGGCGAATACATGCAGCAGATACGGAATGAAGATGAACTGCAAGAAGACTAAAACATTGATCATTAGCAAGAACTACATCAACAACTTTCAGTTCACTGCTAACAACATCGTTCTCCCAGCGGCCGAGACAGTTGCATACCTGGGCTGCACCCTGACTAAAGACTGAGACCACTCTCGCAAAATAAAACACCGAATCGAAATCGCGAGAGGTACATTTAACAAAATGTGAAATGTACTATGCAACCTGTTCCTCAACGTCCGCACTAGAATCAGAATCCTGAGATGCTACGTGCTCTCAACCCTTCTATATGGAGCAGAGGCGTGGACCCTTACCGACGCATCATGCAAGCGTGTGGAGGCATTTGAGATGTGGTGCTATCGGCGCATGCTTAGGATTTCATGGGTACATCGCGTGTCAAATGAGACTGTACTACATCGCATCAACAAGGAGTTGGAGTTTCTGGTGAATGTTAAACGAAGAAAACTGAAATACTTCGGACACATCATGCGGAACGAGAAATACCGCCTACTCCAACTCATACTGCAGGGGAAAATAGAAGGCAGAAGGTCAGCGGGACGCAGACGAATATCGTGGCTGCGAAATCTACGAACATGGACCGGATTGACGTCAACAGCTTTGTTCAGAACGGCAGTGAACAACCCATATAGCACGTCCAAATGAAATTACATTTCTACAAGGGAGACACATGAGAAACAACATATGTTAAAGTGAACCTAAGTGTTCATCTAGTTCTAACATATACATATGAGATACACGCAGGTTTATATTGATAGAATTGTGTGATACAGTGTTTACTAGTTGTATACCGTATGCACTCAAGATTCTAAAGAGTTTTTTGTAACGTAACAAATAATTATTAAAATGATGAAATCTGACGTCGGTATATGAAACATACAGTGTATAAGTCATATGTATGTGTGATACTTCGTATCATAGTTGTGCATATAGTACACACCTTGTAAAAATGTGACGTATACACATAATATAAATATCTATATAGTTTGTAATAGTGTACTGTTGTGTCTACATTTTAGCATGAAATGAAGGTGTGCGCATGCGCGGATAGCCTCAGCGTAGATACACCGACCAAGTGTATCTTATGTGTCCTCTCTCCTTTCTCCTTTCTAGGAGTGGTATGTGTTAGCAGCCATTATTGTTTTATCATTCGGAAGCTCTATATAAATGTTCTGTTTGTGTGTAGTTTAAGAGAGATTTTAAGGTAAGTACAAGTTTTTAATTAACTTGTTACACCTTCCTAAGAGTATTATTAATATTATAGCAGCGATTCTTCCCTTACTCGATACCCAATTTACCAAATTTTGACTCCAATGAATGAAAACTCCAAATATCCTCGTACAATGATAAAGAAGTTAGCTGAGTTAGCTCTGCAATATATTTTTTTTTAATTTGGAAATAATACAAATCTAAATGGACCATAGAAAGAAAGATTTAAATACTTCAAAGAACTTTTTAAACTGATATTCGGTAAGTTATTGATGGATCAATATACAGATATGTTCAATATTCAATAATCAGTTTCATATAAAATTTAAGGGTGAGATTGTTAATCTGGAAATAAAATACAACAAAGTCCAACAAAGTGCTCGATGAATGAGTATGCTAATAAACCAACTGCTGGGAGGAAAAAGAGGAGAAAAAAATTACTAAACGAGGTCCACCAAATCGTGGCGATATACCATCAGTGTTTACCATTTTAGTATGTTGTTATACTAGGTACTTATATTTTTAATACATTTTGATACAAATTCTGTTCTTTTACAGTGTTTTCTTACTTCTGGTTTCTGCAGTGTAAATAATTATTATTATTGTGTTATTTGTGCTATTGCGTTATATAAAGAAATATAAGAATTTTATTTTTTAACCACTTAATCCATTTTATGGAAGAAAAATGGTACATTTAATACAAAACAAAAATGGAACAATTTTAAGGCTACTTCTCTTGAACTTACGATCGAGATACTTTTGGAAAATACATAGGCTTGCTTTCCTAATTTTCGTTCTAAAAAGTTATAATTGGTATCATTGAATAAATATTTCTTAAAAAGAACGAAAAGTTAGGCATCAAATCTTGTATTATTTCCTAAATTCGGTCATAAGAAGTAGTTTTATCTAGTACAAGATGTATATACGAAGCAAAATACATACGTATACACGTATGTATATACTGCAATGTGTAAACATAATTTAAACGTAATACACAAGCACTGTGTATCCTACGGCACACTGTGTATCCCTTACTTTGTGTATACGTAAATGCTAAACTGTGGCTACATTGTGAGGCGGACGTTTAACCTTTGTGCATACGTGTTGAACTACAATGTGTAAACGTAGCATATTAACATCGGGGGAATTGTGTCACCCTGTGTCTACATCTAATAATGTAAACACATCGTAAATGTGATTTGATGTGCTGTATGGGAAAGTAATATGGATCAATGTGATAGCCAACATCCAAAGAGGATAGGCACTTTAAGAAGAAGGTTTTTTAACTGTTGAGCAAACGTTTCTCTCTTCCAAACCCCTTTTTGTTGATCAATACTACAGAGAGGTACTTCTCAAAGTTGTACATTCTTGGTATATCATCCACTAGTAGATGGAGGAGTGAAATTTCCCTTTTGAGGGTGTTCCGAGCTCCTGATCTGACAATTCTTCCACTACTGTTTCCGTCAATAACCATTCTAATCATTGTCGCTAGTTACATTCATTAAACTAAATTAATAAATCTTCGATAAAGATATGCGTGTTTTGTATAATATCCTAATACCCGTACTATATTTCTAATCTAATATTAATATATTAGAAGCAACAGTTTCGCAATATCATTTCGTGAAACAACAGCACGCATCTTCGTCGGCGGCGCGTCGAGGCACGTCAGCTTTGCACCCGAAAAACACTTTGCAGTGCGCTGGCCAGGATTTCATTCAGCAGTAGACACGCCAGTCTCGTGTGTAGTGTTTGTTGTTATATAGTTGGTCTGTCCTTTCCGTGTCGAAAGGATAGACCCGCCCTCCCAACACGAACACCCGGCTCCCACAATAAAAATCTGCGAACTCTCGTTAAAGAATGTCAGCGAGAATGATAGTATACTCGTATATCGCCGTGACACACGTATTATCTGTTTTATAAAACGTTTGGACTGGATTTTCATCTATATTTCATATTTCATATCAATTAAACTTTTAGTTACGTAATTGAGGGCGCGATTTTTAAATTCATTGTTGCCAACCATGGACATATTCGGCGCCGTGCTGACTAACTCGAATTTTAATTTCGCGCTAGGGGTTTCACGTGGTAGCTCTTCTGTAAAAAGTGTCAAGTTGCTGTGTTTATTTGTTTATTTCCTGACATTGTCATTCGTTTTGACACTTTAGTTTTGTATTATAAGTTTTTGGTTGTTTAATCAAAATATTTTGAGGGTACTACGCAGAATAGCTGGGGAGACGCTTCTGGACAGGGAGAGAAATGAAAGCATAAGAAGAGCATGCAAGGTGGAAAATGTAAATGAGTGGGTACTCAGCAGAAAGGAAGAATGGAACGAGCATATCAGCAGAATGCTAGGTTGCAGAAGCTTAGGACATCCACGAAAACAATGGAGCGACAACTTTACAGTCTGACCGGTAGAGACGACGCGACGCAACCAAACAGGCGATTCACCTAGTATGAAGAAGGAAGAAGAAGAAGGAAGAAGAAGAAGGAAGAAGAAGAAGGAAGAAGAAGAAGGAAGAAGAAGAAGGAAGAAGAAGAAGGAAGAGTTTTTGGTTTAAATATATAATGTTGTGATACTTTAAGCTTGAAAATGTTTACTAGCAGACGTTGCAGTCGAACATTGTTCTTTTTAGGACCTCTTTTACTGCAAACTGTACAAAATATCTTAATAGACGTAAAAAACTTGTTTCTAAAATATTTTGTAAACTACTCGTGTAAGAGTCTTGTTTTCCGTTAAAAAAAATTGTTTATATTAAATTGTGTTATTTTAAGAAATAATATTTTATTTGAATCTCTAATTGACTTTTCTTGACTGCATGTATAAAATGTCGTTTCCTAGACGATGCGGTTTGCATTGTTGATGATTATTTTGACTGACGTCGACATTTATCAAAAAATATTAAATTCAGATTATAATTGTGTGGAAAATATTTCTGGGACTGAATAGAAGGAATGAAGTATTATACAGGTATGTATGTATTTTGTTCACTCACGGGCATTACTGGGATTTGTGTAGGAATAGTTTAATATTATTTAGTTAACAGTTATCATTGAGCTTTAGTAGTAGATAGAGAAGGGTATTTTAGTATTACTTGTGTGTGTGTGTTTTATAGTAGACAAATATTTATCAAAAGGCATTTTAATATTGTTTAGTTAAAAGATAGATGTTTATCAAAGAGTGCTTTAGTGTTATTTATTATAGATACGTAATGGACAGCTATTTATCAAAGAGTATTTTAGTAATATTTATTGGGTGTGATTTATAATACCTGGCAAATTATCAAATGGTGTTTAGTATTATTATTTTGGAGTGTTTTATATTTTTACGTATGACACAAATTGTTTAACAACAACATTAAGCTATGTCGCTTTGTGGCCATCCCTTTTGTGCGTGGGAAAGACGCCTTGTCGCTTAGCTGCGGAACAACAATATTATGCTATGTCGCTTTGAGGCCATCCCTTTTGTGCGTGGGAAAGACGCCTTGTCGCTTAGCTGCGGAACAACAATATTATGCTATGTCGCTTTGTGGCCATCCCTTTTGTGCGTGGGAAAGACGCCTTGTCGCTTAGCTGCGGAACAACAATATTATGCTATGTGGCTTTGTGGCCATCCCTTTTGTGCGTGGGAGAGACGCCTTGTCGCTTAGCTACGAAACAACTAACTTAACTATTTTATATACTCGATTATGGGATGTGATCATGTGCGTTTTCCAGTAATGCTCAAGTATATTTTATTTTTATAGATTGCAAATTGCGTGATCATAGAGTGAGAGCATTACACAAGTGTCCCGGCATCTAAGGTGAGTTTAGCTTCTTTTGTTAATGTTGTTTGAATATTAAATTGATATTAACACCATTCATATATTATGCTATATAAACAAAAAAAAATATTTTATTTTTCTTACTCGCTCTTACCTTACGAGTGTAACGCGTGGGGGATTTTTTTTGGCGTTCCCTGTTGCCTTGTTCAATTTTGTTTCGTTTTGAGCTACTTCCAAAACGTAGCGGTATCTGTACCCGAGGCAAAGTATTTTTTTTTTATACGTCTCAGTGAAATAAGTAAACCTAGACGTTTCTAAGATCTAAGACTCTGTTTGGTTTGGTTACGATGATATTTCGTTAATTACATCTCGTTTTATGTTGATATATATTCCACAAAATTAATATTTGAACACGCGTTTATAATATGTAGAGTAGGTATTTAAGAACAAAACTTTCCACTCAATCTGCAGGAATATAATTACAATATGTTTATTATTAATTTTATTATAACGAATTAGTATATAAAATTGTGTATGTTAGGTTTGTTTACGCGGCATTAATAATTGATTAATAATTGGCCGATAATTGACATTTCGGGAAACACACGGAAAACTAAATATCTACCTATTGGTACAGAATTGAAATATAGATAGAAGCCTGCAATGACTACACCTAATCACTAGTAATAAGAGCAGATAGTAATAACTAACGTAACTTTGTCCACGAAGTTTATAGGATCTATACGTAAAACAATCTGAAATAATGGGATCTCTGAGTCGAAAAAATAAAACCAACACCGCCTATCCGAATTTTCTTCACATAAATCACCTGGTTCTTGTCCCCCGCCTCACTTCGGGGACCCCTATTATGCGAAAGCGGTGTCGGGTACGTCCCACGCGACTTGTCACCGGTAAAAGAGGGCCCGTGTCCGCGGAGCAGATAGGTACTACCGGGCCGGTAGCCGCAAATGAAGACATCAGCGGGGCTATTAAGTGCCGCCGCCGAGCCCAAATCTCGACAGTTTGTATGCTAATGAGACAGTGGCGGCCAGAGGGTACTACCAGAAGTATTTCCGTCTTAAAACTGAATATATAATCGAAAGAAAAAAACATTTACCCCCAATGGAAACCGTTTCGTTTCTTCTTGTCATTAGTCATGGCCGGAACAGCGATTTTTTAATAACAGGTACAAGCTGTTCCAGTTGGAAAAGATATCTGTTCCAAGAAACCTGTTCCAGTTCCAAACTGTTCCAAAACGAAAATTAATACCGTACTTGCGTCATTCTGATCGCCTGTTATTTTTCTTTTTAAATTTATATAAGACAATATTTTTTGCTTAAATAATGAGAGCTACTGGGGATTTTTCTGTTTTCTCTAAATTTAATCTACTATCTATGTTGCTATATTACCAAAATATAATGTTTTTAACTAAAAATTAAAAAAAACTATCAAATTTTCGAAAAATATAAACTTTTCAAAAACATGTTTTCCCGGAAAAAACTCATGAGAATCGAAATTTACAACCCCTAAAAATATGTGCACTTATTTAAGACCCACCCTGTATAAGCACTAATGAATAATACATTTTTTTAATATCTACTATATTTTTAATACAAAACAATATCCGACTGTTCTTACACTGTATTTTTCCAAAAAAAATATAATGCGATAATTATATTGCATTTGGCAACATCGCCAGCATTTTTTTATAATAAAAAATATTCCTTACCTATTCTGTTTCTGTTTACACTAAAAAAATAAACTATTTAAAAAAAATTATTATAAATTTAAAATTTATAATAAGAATTTAGTTGAATTTTAATTAAATATTTTAAATAACGGCAACAGCCACACTTGTTTTTTACGCCCCTGTGTCCCGATAACAGATAACACCTGAACGGTCGCGTCTGCTAGACTTGGCTAGACTAGCGAAACATTGAGCGAAACCGATATACGACCTCGATTATCAACTCAAACCAGTTCTTTTTATTTAACTGTTTCAAACAGTTCCAAGTTCCTAACTGTTCCAAGCCCTAAACTGTTCCAGGTCGCAAACTGTTCCAAATCTCAAACAATTCCAAGTCCCTAACTGTTCCAAGCGCTAAACTGTTCCAAGCCCTAAACTGTTCCAGGTCGCAAACTGTTCCAAGTCTCAAACTGTTCCAAGTCCCACTGTTCAGGTTGGGACTTGAAACAGTTTACGGCTTGGAACAGTTTAGCGTTTGGAACAGTTTAGCGTTTGGAACAGTTAGGGACTTGGAACTGTTTGGGACTTGGAACAGTTTAGGACTTGGAACAGTTATGTAAAAAGAACTAGTTTCAGTTGAGAAACGAGGTAGTATATCGCTTTAGCGACGCGGTCGCTTGGCGTTATATTATCGAGATTGAGTGCGAGTGCACTAATATACGTAAAAAAAACAAGGGTGACGGTTTTCGCAGCGTTGCCGATATTTGATATATTTAATTAAAATTCAACTAAATTTTTATTATAAATTTTAAATAGGAAATCAATATTTAAAAATGGAGAAAGCAATAAGAATATCGTATATATCGAACTGTTGTGCTCTCAGTGAGACAAAGTTTCCTAATTAGAGAATGCCCTTCTCCTCGTGAGAGGGATTCCTATTATATGAGGTTAGAAATCTGGCTATCAAAATAATATTATAAATATCGAACTGTTGTTCTCCCAGTGAGACAAAGTTTCCTATTTATAGAGAATGCCCTTCTCCTCGTGAGAGGGATTCCTATTGTATGAGGTTCTAAATCTCTCTATCAAGAGAATATTATAAATAAATCATATATTGGTTTCACGTTTAACCTTAGTTATCAGAGACAGATGTCAGTTTGTTTTTAGTCAGTATATAATTATATATGCATATCATAGTTACTGAAAATTATAAAAAAAAATAAATAATACAAATAATAATAAAACTTCTGGTATAAAATTGACACAGATCAATATCTGTGTCTACTTTATATCAATGTCCATATTATCCATACCAATGTAAACCTAATTTTACATTTTTTTAAATTCGAAACCTAATATATATGATGACTCTGGTTTAATTCATCGACGTAATTAAAGCATTTTGGAAAATAAATTATTGAGAATCTTAATTTCCTACTACCAAAGTCTAACATTCAAATGTTGTCTATTATTAATGGCTTAAAAAGTAAGGTCTTTTAAATATTAAGCAATGGGTTAGAAACACCTTAAAAAATATATATCTGTTAAACCTCACTATAGTCGAGTTATCCACGCAGTTCTACATTGAGACAGGGATTTCTATCGACACGATGAGTTAACTGGTTTATAAAGTATAATTGAACAATTTTTGCAGAATCCTTTATGAAAGTGTCATCTTATGGGTTTCTCTCTCTGCTTAGTATGCATATATGTATATGTTAAATTGTCACAATTTAATAAATCCATGTATTGGTGGGCCGTTAAATTGGTTTCATTTTGGTTGCATTCAATAAACATATTTATAATTTCAGCTATTTTTGTCTCAAAAAAATGCTTTCTGCACCGCATTCATTAATTTGCAACCATCAGTTCTTTAAACATCTACGTATAGAAAAATCAAGATAATACATTCGGACTGGACGCGAATATAATTATACGATCAAACGAACTTACCTGAAGTGAAGTTCGATCGTAATTATATGAGGCGTCCAGTCCGAATGTATTATCTTCCCACCCTTCCCGTTTTGCCCCATGGTCGCTTGAATTAATGAATAAATCTTTGAAAAATGAATACCGACCGCCGCGCCGCGCCAGCGCCGCCACCTAGACTAGCAAAAGGAGGGAATTTAGCTTATAGCTTTAAAATTGTGCACGCAGGGACGGTACTAATACATTCGGACTGGACGCCTCATATAATTACAATCGAACTTCACTTCAGGTAAGTTCGTTTGATCGTATAATTAAGATATTATATAATATCTAAAATCAAGTGCAATGTCTAATGAATAATTGAACAATATCACTAATACCGGTTGTTATCACGTTACCAACATTACAATACAAATTCACAGTGAGATGTGAAAGCGCAAGTTGATGGGAAAAGGAAAAAGAAACATTATATGTATAGTCAAATTAAATAAATAAACATATAGAGGAAATGCCACTTAATATGAGTACAGACCGTGTGGGAAAAGAACATAACAAATAAGGAAAAAAAGAGAATTTTCTTGTACTATTTAATTGTTGTTTTATTTAAGGTTTTTAATTAAAAACAATGGAGGATATTTCTTCCGTTTCTTGCTTTGAAGAAGTATAATACACAGGGATGGGTAAATGTATTTTTTTAATAATATTACGTTTTTGATGTAGAAAAACAAAATGTTACGTGGCCACGCCTAAAGTGGTTCTTTTGGGGTTATCAAATCGTCAATCTATTGTTGCATATTAAAGGATTCATTTTATTAAAAAAAAAAACTAAAAACCCTGTCTAATCATTATTATTCTCAGCTTATTCAACCATTTTCAATTATGATTTGCTACCTTACATATTTAGATACTCTCTTTGTAGTTGGGTCCATTGTTGTCTGTCGTTGGCTATTCTGGCCCAAGTTATCCCTGTTAACTTCCTAATATCATGGTCCCATCTCAGGGTTTGGTCCTCCTCTAGGTCCCTTAATTCCTCGTGGGTACCATACTGTAATTTTTGTAGTCCATCTGTTGTCTGGTCTTCTTGCCAGGTGTCCTGCTCATTGTCATTTGAGGATTCCTTATGATGTCCGTTTTAAGTGTCCATGTTTCGCATGCATAGGTCATGAAAACCCTGCAAAAAAAATATTGCCCACTTATTTAATTTTTGTAGTCCTTGAAATCCCAAATCCGACGCTGATAACTTCAGCTGGAAGTTGTAAGTGCATGGATTACATTCACATAGGAACCATCTATTAAGCTCAAGTATTAACATCAAACGTCTCTAGAGTGTCGCGAGGAGCAGTGTCCAATGAGCAGTTAACGAAGCGATTAGACGTTGGGTAATATTATTATGACGCTATGTTTTACCTCCTTAATAAAGTTC